TGGGGTCATGGGATGAAATCCTTCTACACTTTTGCTAAACTCGCCTAGTTCTTCAACATATCCAAAGGTAGGAGTGGCAATCCGATCCGACGGATTGATCCGAGTAACTTACTAAAGCATTGTCGGATCCAATCCAATCCGATCCGATGCATTTAAAACCGGATCGAATTGCCACTCCTATCCAAAGGGCATCGAAATCGGCGATTCATGAGAGTTTTCCCATATGAGTTGACAAATTGCCACCCATGAATACCAAACCAACTTAAATAATAATTTCACCGTAGTTTAAACTCATTGTCTATTTATTCGTCCTAATGATGGTGGAATTGAGTAATTTATGTAGCAACATTAACTCGACTTTATAAATTTTATTGCTAATTTTCTTTAGATCCAATTTAAATTAAGAAGTTATGATATCTATTTGGGTTGATTTTAGCACAAAAATATCAGTCTTGGCATTTGTTCAAGTAATAAATTCAATATATATTTATTCACTATATACGTAGGTAACATAATTGTGTAAACCTTGTGTTTTTTTAATAAAGCAGATTTAAACATTAATTTCTTTACTCAAAATTGAAAACGGATTTTGAAACCGAGACTTTAGCTACATATGTATGTTTGTTTGGTCAGCAATTAATTAATATAGTTAGAATCATCAATAAAGGTATGCAACACTGAACGGCATTGGAAATACGTTAGAAACAGCACATAAATTTAGACCTTGTATTTTAGAAATAATTATGTTTAAATTTTAATCATCCGTTTTTTTCGGACATTTGTGTGCTATCATATCACGCAACCATGTCCGATATCATGTCCGCGCGCCTATTGTAACAGATAAGGCAGATGTTATCGTATAATTTAAAATAATTCCAAAATACGTCGCCTTGGTTGAGCTTTTACAAAAATAAAAATTATAATTCACCGTTCCTGCATAAATTCTCGGAGTTCGTAACGATTGTAACTTTGTTTTCAAATGTTTCTTGTCCTCGCTCAAACCTAGAATATTTCTCCACTTGGCCTCCAACGATTTACAATTTTTAAACACGTCAATCAATATGGGTAACATAACGTCAATAATGACCAAAATGAAGGCAGCAACCGCCGGGAAAAGTGGATAGAGTGTCATCGGAATTCTTGACAACAATTTGAGCGCTGCTAAATTAAAGAGGACGCTTAAAACTAGGCCAAAAAACATGGTGCCTGAAACAGCAGGGTGAAACAAAATTGTGTCCAATGGCTAGATTAATTAAACAAATTTCGTAGTTTCGCAAGTACCTGGACAAAATCATGTTCTCTCTGCGAAAAAAATACACTGCACTGCTATCCATTGCCGACACGCAGGCTAAGCCAAGATACGTCGCCATCGTTGGAACGCAAATTAGCAGACTGATCGTTCTCGCCGCCTGAAGAAACAGTAGACATTGCGTATAGCGGAGAAAGAAGAACAGAAATCTTATTGGAATTGAAAGTATGAATCCATTTTCTTCCAGTAGATATTCAGCTTGGCTGTATGGATCCAATTGAAGTGATAAACACCCGAAGAAATAAAAAAATAAGGCAAAAAAGCCAGCAAGTGGTGAGACCAAATTTAATATTAGTCCAATCACGTCTCTCATGTTGCTCTTTTGTAGTTGTGAAGCTTTATCTAGAATATATTAGAGAAATTATATAAGGTTCGGTTGAAAAATATTTTCAAAACTTGGAACATGGAAATATTAAAAAGTAGTTTAGGATATTTTAAAAATATTTGAATGATTAAAAATAAAGTATTCAAAATAATAATTTGGTTAGCAGATTCAACTTACTCAGTTTCTTTTCCAGTTCTGCAAATTTATTTAATATTGCTGCTGTGCTGTCCCCGTATAAATAAAATATTCCCTCAAGATAGATAACATATGCAAAAAACGCGAACGCGATAAAAAGAACTAAAAGGTTTGTAAGAGGGATGTGAATAAATCCAAAAAGTTGAAACAAAAGTAATAGGATGGATAAAATGTTGACAGGAACCAGATACCAGATATATACTATCATCCAGGGTATTAGCTTTGTCGAGGGAGGGTTGACAATTAATTTTTTACTTGTAACGTCCCATTCTAAAGGATTCCTCCATATTAATTCGTACGTATTGGTTAAAAGATCCATCGACTTCCACATTAGCGGAGTGACAACCATGTTCGATGTTTGGCTAACAACTATTAGGCGATACGATAGCAAAATTTTAGTTATTTATTTTTGTTGTGTATATGTGCTTACTGATTACTGTGCACCAGTTTGTTAAGTTAACGACTTTTTTGTATCATAAATGCAAAATCGGCTTTATCTTAATTTGCACATGTAGGACAACTTTCAAGGTTTATAAAATGCACGCTAAGAATTCAGGTGACTTAACGTTCTACGAAAGATACTACCCAGGTAAATATATTGGATTGCAGATATTATTTTGAGCAAACTGTTATGCTGTTGATGTTATATTCTGCATGAACCTACTGGTTAAGTTGTCCAACCATTTGAAGAACATATTTCAGTAAAATTATCGACCTAACTTTTTTATAACTCATGGCAACTGTTGAATAATTTATAGACTTTATATTGTCGTCAAACTACTAACTGTCCATGGAATCCGAAATCCAGACGGACATGTATATAAGAATGCTTCCTTTTATGTCTCGATTTTGATTGGGGTAGACAATTTAGCAACTCATAACTTATAAATTCAAGTATTGACTTGCAATTTCCTAGCTAGTGTTTAAATTTGCAATGGTTAAATATGCTCATATTTCTAAAAATATTTGATTATCGTAAAAATACGATTAAGATTTGAAATTTAGTTTAGAGGTTTCTAGTTCAAATTCTTAAAGAAATATTTTTTTAGGAATTAAGTAAATCCTTTTGCAACATGAATTCCACCAATGTTATGATTACACCAGACAAGGGCTTGCACGAATTAGAATTTAACCTACCTCTGGACATTGTATTTGAATAAATTGATTAATTTTCAACTTCCAATTTAAAATTGATTGTTGTATGCAACCTCCTTGTAAGAATGACAAGATTAATAAAAAAGTGATGCTTATTCCACGAAACTGAATTGATCTTAAATAGTAAATTAATTAAAGGATATTAAACCTCAATTGGAACTAGGACAAGTTTAATTTTCCAGTTTATTGATCTATTTACTTATGTGCACCGATGTTGAATTCGGAACTTGTAAATTTCTCAATAATTTTTACAAATAACTTCAAGGCTTAGTTTTTCTTGACCTGGTTGAAGAAATTTGAAAAAAAGCAGTTGAGTACATATGTACACTGCAAAAAATCTGGTGTAAATTTTACACCGCGCGGGGTGCATATATGTGGCTACACCGGCATGGTGTTAATATTTGTCACCGCGTGGTGATAAAACTGTCACCAGACGGTGACAGTTTTTCACAATGCGGTTGCAATTTTACACTAGACGGTGAGAATTTATCACCAAACGGTGTAGCCACATATCGACACCGCTGTTTTGCTAATATTTTTTGCACTGTATTTAAAAAAAATTAGCTGCCCCTCAAATTTTATGTACAGACCGTATTTGTTACTGAGGCCCATTTTTTAAATTTGTTGAACCGTTATTAGACCGTCTTGTGCTTAGTAATTTATTTTCTACAACTTTTTTTTTTAAACAAAGTTGTGATGGTATAAGTGAGCGAAAATTGACATCTTTTCCCTGGCAAATACGTTGACCTTTGCTTTCATTTCTCCTGCTTTTTTTTTTACTAAATTTCGTTTATCGCAACCTTGACTTTGAGAATATTTTTTGAAATTCGAATTAAAAATTTAAATGCATAAAATATATTTATATATAACTGAAATTAGAAAAAATAGAGTTATGAAAAAATTACGATAATCATTATTTTATATTTCGCACAATATATTTCGCAAAACTAAAAAAATATTTAGGTAGTTTAGCCAGCGTTTTTCACGTTTTGTTGGGAGATATGGACATAACTACAGATTAATAAATAAATCGTTCATAAAAGTTGAACAAATAGCTTGACATTTAGCCCTAGAATCAAATTCCTCAAAATTCGCAAAAAAAATCGCGGATTTAGGCTTGTAGCTCAAAAACTGGCTAAGCCCCCTAGCTAATACTGCTAACTTTTCTTTTAATTGCACAATTTTTCGCGATATATATTTTTACAAGATTGATACCACTATTTCTTAGTGAAACTTTTTTATGCAGAGTTTCATTTACAAAGATGTTCCCATTTCTGCGAAATGTGACATATTTACATCACTTCTTTCTAAAAATTAAGCTACACCTCAAACGTATTAATCAGACGTGCTCTGTTTAGCATTCTAATTCGTCATTGATGTCATACAATAAAGTTTGCATAAATTTACTTTCATTGATTAGATCTTTAATGAAAATCAATTGCGCGAGTATTGCCTACATACATCAAGTACGACAAGGTCTACATGCTAATTAAAAAATCATTACATTCTACATAAGTATCTGATAAGAAATTATCAAAATAAAGTGGATATCGCCTGGATATCTTACTCATAAGAGACAGGCATATGTATTTAGTTACATTGGTACATATGTAATGATAGCCTTATTTTCATAAATATGTACAGCAAATAAATATATTTGCAAATTTGCACAAACCCACCCCAACAACAAAACACTGATCCAGTTCTCTGCAACGCATTTCTCTCCTTATCTTGCCAAGTAATCTTATCAACGCTGAAAAACAAATTGTTGTTTTCTTTACCGAGTACATACTGTGACAAAGATTGAAATAAGCGTCATTGCAATCAAAAACAGAGAATGAGACGTAATAGAAGGAGATGCAGCATCCAAAAATAAACTTGTTGTTTATTCGTCCCATTTCCAGGAACTCGGTCCACTTCAAGTAATCAAACTTGATTCGTGTTAATTAACTTTGAGTGAGAGAGTGACACGCAGTTTGCGAATGTGCAAATATTCACATCTAATCCAAGGTTAGGTAAAATCAGTCCAGTAAATCATTACCAGCTGTTGAAACAACATCTTAAATAAATAACTGTGTAATAGTTTCCATAATAGAAATTGTAAGATCACAAATTTGCAAAATTCTTTCGCGAAAATGTTCGTCATAAAGGTTGCATTTATCCTACTTTTTGCAAGGTAGCACAAATTATGCTATAAATGCTAAATAATATATTTTTCACTACCTTAACATAACGGTATTCAAGCCTAATTAAATATTTCGGAAGGTTGCAACTTCCGCAAAATAGTTGAAAAGTTGGCAAATTCGAAAAATTTTTAGTTGAAAATCGGAGCTCGTGAAACATGTTCAAGAGCTTGTTTTCATGAGCAAAAAAGTTTGCAACAATTTTATAAAAATATGTTGCGATGCGAACTTGCAAAGTGAATATCTTTTCTGTATTTATATCACAATTTTAAATTTTGACTTAATTTAGTTCACTTGCAACTCAAGCTTCCACGACCACATATTCCGTCAAGGATAACGTCATCATTGAAAAAATACTGCAAAGTTATGACGGCAATATGCGACCCAGCGGAGAAAATGGTAGCGATTGTAATTATTAATTCATAATATTTGTAACATAATTAAGTATTATGTAATTTAAGGATCATCTCCCACCGTGGTCAGCGTTAATTTTTATATCAGATCAATTCCAGAATTGGACGATGTAAAAATGGTGAGAAAAATATAGTTGGTTTTCCGTTCAATTCAGTGTTGCACGTGGTATAAACTACATTTTACCGGACGGTGGGAAAACATGGGAAAAAACAGTTTTTCCCACCCACAAAACCAGTAGGAAATGGGAAAAACGTTAGTTCCTATGCGATATACGCTAGGTGGCACTTTTCTTTCCATTTTCCCACTTCTCCCCATTTCGCACTGGGTGTTTTAGGTGGGAAATAGGCAACACTCAAATTAATTACGGTTCAATTAAATATTTTTATAAATATCTATTGATTTGCCTTTTTTAAAGGTTTACAAGACACAGCTCACTTTTAGAATGCAGTGGTTGGATGAGGGTCCTAAATTCGAATCAACAGGTAGATGCACACAGTGTTAGAAGTCTGGTATAATCACGCGGGTATTAATATTGATTTCGCGATATTGAATTTTTTACCATTTGGTATTAACATTATACCATTTGGTAGAAATCATTACTGCAGTAATGATTTCTACCATAGCATGCTATGGTATAACTTTAATACCGATTTAATATCGTACGGTATTTTTTTCAATACCATTTTAGTAGTCATAAATGAATACCGTTTGGTATTGATTTAATATCTGATTTCTAAGAGTACAGAACTAAATATTTTTTGGAAAGATTGTCCCGGACAGGGGTATTGCCTTTTTCGGCGAGAGGCTAAATCATGCCCAGTTTTCGAAATAAATAATTGGATTAATACCAGTTGCAAATATATGCACCGTTCACTCTTAGAAGTCTGGGATAATCACGCGGGTATTGATTTCGTGGTATTGACCCTTCTTCCATTTAATATTAAAACTATATCATTCGGTATAAATCGTTGCTGTTATGGTATAACTTTAATACCAACTTAATACCATGCGATATTCTTTATCAATACCATTTTGGTAGGGTCATATATGAATGCCACTTGATATTGATTAAATACCTGATTAGTTATGATCAATCTTATCCTTTATAAGTATAAATTAAATCTTATCATAATATTGTTACCAATTTATAATGTTTATTTATTCAGATGCCCACCGTTATATAACCCTTCCAGCGACCACGCTTGGAAAAACATTGTGGTAGCCGGACCTCTTCTTCTCAAACGAGTTGGAATACTCGAAACACGCCGGTATAACGCCGAACGAATATTACCGGGTGTTTCCGAACGGTGAAGTCTTACACAGTTCCAGGTACCCTTAATAATATAATTATATGTACCCTCTTAGAAATCAGGTATTAAATCAATACCAAACCGTATACATATAAGACTCTTCCAAAACGGTATTGATAAAGAACCACTTGACTATAGCAAACTTTTAATAGTGTATTTTTATGTGCTTCTAAATAATTGCCTGGCATACCTTAATTTGTAGAATTACAGTGAAATGGTCGTGCCCCATGATCTTCGTTTTGTATCCTTTTGACAAACAGACGTGTTGTATGCGGATGGCGAGTTGTAAGTTGGCATTTTTGCAGAGGCTAGATGGCGGCAGATATCAATATGTTTCACTCCAATTTTATAGATGGCTTCACAACGGATGATATAATTTTCAAGTGGAAAGCAGTGGATCCAGTCCAACTCACATCCGATCTACACTTACCTTCTTTTGCCTTGCAACAGTTTAAGACAGACTATTGCGACTCAAGAACTAACACGGGTAATTAATTTATAGATCCCATAAAACTATAATTAATTTGCACCAGAAATAGTAAGGCTATTCACGACTAAGTATGTTCGTATCCGAAGGAAGCTTTGAAAATATTCTGCGGACGGTCGAATGATCGAACGAATTATGGTTTGGAGATGAGCAACTTCGCAAATCATTTTTCGTCTGCAACTTTTTAGGAAAATTTTTGCTAAGTTGCGAACTTTGTTTTTTTTCTAACTTTTGAATACCTCGAGTAATTAGAAATTTCATCTTCTTCCAGGAACCTACAGCTGTCTCAGGGTGGATCTCCTCTTCGCTCGAGAACTCAACCGATATCTATCTAAACTTTTTATCCCCATGATAACGTCCATCCTACTAATTTGGGTCTCGACTTGGATAACACCGTCAAACAGTGGATTGATCATGGCACGTGCCTTACTACTCTGCGGGGCCAGTTTTTATTGCAAGTGGTCCATCCTAACTGGACCAGCCAGACCTTCGGCTATTATTTCCTATACAACCGCCCTGGACATGTGGGACACTTTCTGTACTGGATTTATTCTCCTGGGAATCCTGGAGTTTGTCGTGGTGCTCATTTCACGCGACTGTGGGAAGGGATGCGACGATCTTAACGGGTCGCAAGATAAGCACGTGTGCAGTCGTAGGATCGACTTTGTGACGAGAATTATCTATCCGATTGGATTTTTAGCCTGTGTCTGTATATATTTTGGAGCTTACTTGGCAAAGGCAAAGGAGCAAGATGGGGATGAGACAGAGTAGAAAGAAGGGCTCAAATTGGTTAAACATACATAGTTAAGTTATAAATAGTAAGGAATCCAATCCCGGACCATATTTTGAATCCCGGGAATCGGGACTCCCGGCAGATATCAATCCGGCTAGCTAAATCCGACGAGTTACATTTCATTTCGGCCTTTATTTAAGTGTAAATGGATATCAGTTTAACAAAAAACTGATTTAAAAGCCATGACACTAAGTATCTATAACTGTGAATAAGCAAAAATGTAACTATATACATACAATATAATAAAAATCATTCGTACATAATCACTCATTCATACCAATATAAATAAATAAATAATAATAAGTTGCGAGCCAATTCTTCGATCTCTTTTAGAACTTATCACTAGAATGTCGTACTTCAGTCCGTCGCCAAAAAATCGCTAACGCCCTACATTACAACCCCAATTTATAGTATGTTGTGATTTGTTTGAATAAGTAATTAAGAAATTAAGAACCAATAATAATTAATTTTAACTGGCAAAGGCGAGAGACATGTTCAAAATTAAAAAAAAAATAAGTTGTTTTGTTTATTTTATTTGCTCACTCACCTGTGAAAACTTGACGTCTGGAATGAGGGATAAAACAATACTTCCGAAAATTACCGAAATAGTTAACGAAACTCAATGTGTGAGCAAACTTTTTTGATGTCACTTTTTGACATATAACGTCACAACTTACTAATTTGTTATAACTGGGAACTTCACGATATGAACTTAAATACTCCTCAACACCCTTATATATATAATCCTGCAAATTTCATTCAATTCGGTCAAGCCGTGTTCGAGAGATATCATAATGCATGAAGCGAAATGGACCCTGAGCAAACTTTTTTTACTAAGCCGTGGCCCATAAGCTTCTGATCATTTTCCTTTCCCAAATTTTGCACTTATATAACTTTTTATTGGACGAATAAATTGCTACAAATTTGTATGCAATTATACGTCAATACTTGGTGTGCGGATCCGCAGCATAAAATATTTTCTCCGCTGAGTCCATATGAGCGAATTCCAAACGCGATCGAATAGTTTGAATAAGTTTAACTTCGTCGTTAGGTAAGGTGGTTTGACGGTTTAATTCTTGAGAAGGGATCATTTACGCTAACGTACGCCGTCACTGTGAGGACCAATTGTACCTGGTTCATCCAAGTTACCCGTCGAGATCTACTTTCTACGAGATTTTGCGACTCGGCACTAAATTTAAAGGGGACACATGCCAACTTTTCAGAAATTTTTAAATGAAGTTTCATAAGAGGGAGGAATTCTGTTTTGAACATTTTTCGCTCCAGTCCACCTCGGCGGTGGGAACATAACTGGGGGATCGTGCACCGAATTATGCGTAGGCCGTATGACGCTTTTTCACGGATGCGGAGGCGGCCATAGCGGTCGAAATTATGCACCATGGATTGATTAGCGAAACAAGTAATCTGGATATGTAATGCTAACTAGGGATGCAACGAGTACTCGGTTAGACTCGGTACTCGGTGAACTCGGCGCATTTTTTGTGGGCTCGAACTCGGCCGAGTTTTCTTTGGAACTCGGCCGAGTTTTGTCATTAATATTTTACGGTAAAACAAGTAAATACCACGAAATAAATGTGGAGCTCTACTCCAAATTTCGATCTCTTCCATAAAATCGAGAATGTAAAAATAATTATCTTGGTACATTTTCTTTATATTAACGCCTTTTTATCATTATGTAAGTTGTTGACATTATGTAAGTGAAAATGCACTTTACGATTGCCGTATTTTGGGGAGAAAATGAGAAATAACTCGGTTTTTCGAGCGCTCGATGACCGAGTTTTACCGAGTGCTCGAACTCGGTCGAGTTCGAGTACTCGGTCCAAAATTTTGCCGAGTACTCGAACTCGACTCGGTTTCAAAAATTAGGACTCGTTGCATCCCTAATGCTAACTCTGTATCGTACAAGGTAGTAACAAGACGCTAAATAGTAAAAAAATCACAAATCTGCAAATTCGTTGTTCTTTTGTTTTCTAGAAGTACAATTTTTTTAGTTTCGAAATATGCTAAAATAAATATTTCTACATGTTTAATCCGCCACTGTTTAATCCGCCACAAAGTCGTAGTTATTCTTTGCAAAAACCAGAACAGGGCCTCATCATGAGGCCCTCATGATTTGACCAGTATCTCGTTTCAGACTCATAATTCACCTCCTCGTGTCTTCCTCCAATGTAATCAGTTCATATAATCTAAGGAGGGGAGCTTCACATTGTTGACTCACCGATTGCCTCCAAATTTTTACACAATTTATTACCATGTGAGAGATCGCCGATTTTCTAGATATATTATAGTCGTTGTTGGGCATATCATGTGACCCCCATGTGACCCTTATACAGGGGGTGTGGTTAACCACACCCTCATTTTTAACTCTAATATACTCGATATGGGTATCATTTAAAAGCTATTGGCAACAACTTTTCAATGATATATAACATAATAGGTCTGTGACCCTCCCCCTGACCTTGGGGTGGGGGTAAAGCAAAGGTCAAGTACTATGCATTTTTGCGACAAATCATTGTTTTTGATATCTGAAATGATCCATTATTAGCTCACCCTGCGTACCAGAGGAGCTATTGAATTCCTCTTGTCCGTCTGTCCGTCTGTCTGTCTGTCTGTTCGCGAAGTTTTTGCATCAATTGATGCTAATTAATTTGCCCCATGTGCAAATTTTAGCAAATTAGTAGTACCATTGGTCTCGAACAGTCGGTAACACAAAATAGTGCCAAACAATTGAGAACATAGATGCAAAACACACCAAACGTGCATAAGGCCCGAAAAAAATAACTAGAATTTTTACTTCTAATTTGTCACGATGTGCATCTTTTGTCCGCTTATTCTGCACCATTAATGCAAAATTATGCCAAAATTGCGTATCAATTGTATCCGCATATGCGGCACCATTGGTGCAAAATATTGTCAAAATTTGGATTACAGGGTGAGCTACTTCTAACGTTACAACGGTTTATTTAAATTAAACAAACCTGTAAATCATCAACAAGTACATAAAAAATGAAAGATACTCAATAAAATCCTAACAACATTAATCTAACAACAACACACGAGACATCTTATTATTTCACCGTAAATATCCCGGCGTAGTCACGCAGGTACAAATTTCGTGGTGTCAATTTGGTGTAAATTGGTCACTATTTTTGTGAATTTTTTCAATATTCTGGTGTGAATTTTTCACTGTTTTGGTTTCAGTTTATCGTGATGCGGTAAACATTTGCCACCATGCGGTGATAATGATTTACACCACGACCGGGAATTCATAAATATTTGCACCCTGAACTGCGCTAAATTAGCACGGAATTATTTTAAATGTACATATGTTATTTTTCTGGGGGTTTCCAATGTTTTTATGTTTTTAGTGAAATATAAGCCAGTCAACTTTTGTCCAAAATATATACATAAATGCAAAATTTATTGAATTTTATTTTGACAGGTTTCATTACCAATACAAATACATTGACGCTATAACTTACCCTCAAACTAAAGTAGTCTACTGATAAGGTATTTTTAAGTAGTAGACAATTATGACATTTATTCTTTGAAGGGTGAACATTCACAGAAATAAAAGTGATTTGTTACCCACAGATCAAAAATGCACAACCGTTTCCTACATCGAGCACACTTGATAAATCTAGGTTTGTCACACCCAGGAGATTCGCATAATTTTCCCTCGTCTTCAGTGAAGCTGAAACATACCTGTTTCATATTTAAGAAATCTACTTTCACGTCAGTCAAGCCACTAGAGTACCAGGCATATTGTAACATGGGTTTGAAAATTGGGGCCGATATCATAAAATGTAGTAATGATTGTAATTTAATTATTCCTTTGCGAGTAGTCCAATTATCATCCTGGTTCACACCTTCCGAGTTAACAAATACTTCCAATCCAGCTAGAATTTCACGTGCTAGAATTTTAAGTTGTCTATGAAATGTTGTGTCTAAAGGTTGGGCCAGAGGTGTGCATTTTTCCGGTATTATTTTTAGTGTTATGTTAGGTTTCTCATTCTGTTCTCCGAAATATTTGGAATAGGATTCAAAATTTGTCTGCCCTGCCCAGCTATCTATTATATAGAGAAAGTCTTTGGTGACGAAAGGTAGTAGCTGTTTTTGTATGAAATATTCATTCAAAGATGTTGACAATTTACCAGAAGTACTACATGTTAAAGTGACATTACTTGGTAAATATGACTCAACTTCTTTCTTAACACTAGGACCTAATTTGCCCTGAGCTTCCTGCAGACAAATGAATACATTACCAACTACTTCTCCTGCAAGGTTAATTAAATACTGCACTGTATATGAATGAGTAGATAAATTCTTCGGCGACTGCGCATACCCCATTACATTTTTTTCACCTTTTTTAGTAAGGGTTCGTTGCGAAGTTATTTCGTAAGAAAAGCCGCACTGATCCGTATTGAAAATGTGATCAGGATCAAAACGACTTGAAATATTTCTAATTCCTTCCTGAAATTTTTTTGCAGAGTTTAAGATTTCTTGTTCTGATTTTATTTCCCTTTTGCTAACTAAGGTGTTAATTTTCCTACTCGAAATTCCATGTCTTATTTTGAATCTATCTAACCAGCTTTTCGATACTTTAAATTTCAAGTTGTCGTCGCCAATTTCAATGTACTTTTGCATAGCCCAATACCTTAAATGAGACGCACGAATAATTTTGAAAGACTTTCGGGCTTCCGTCATTTCGTTAAAAACATGTTGACTAATTCTTGCATATTTTTCTTTCTTGTCCTGTTTTTCTTTCACTTGACGTTTCCAAAGGTATAAAGTTTGCTTGTTCCGAACTTCTTTTGCTCCATGTTTTTTTAAAGACGTTACGGACCATTTTGGATGAGATTCCCAAAGAGCAAGTATTTCCTGTTTTCGATCAAAGGGGACAAATTTATATTTACTCTTTTTGGCTGGAGTTTCAACGAGGTAATCGTCATCAGTCTGCTCGTTTTGGTCGTCAGATTCATTGTCGGAGAGTTGTTCATCTTGCTCATTATTTTGGTCGCAGTCATCATCTTCGGAGGGTTGTTCATTTTGGTCGTATTCATAACCGTCAGACAGGTGGTCACATGCAAATGTCGTTTCTGCGGTGAATAAACAAAATATATTTTTTTTAATTAATTAAATATGTACAAAGAAATCAGTAAAACTAAACCATGGTTTAAATATTGAATTTGAATATGTATAACAAGAATAAAATATTACCGTCTAAAGTCAAACATTCATCTTCTTCCACAACAAATTCCTGCAGATTTTGTAAGAAAGAGTCAAACATTTTTTCTGCGAATAAAATTTCTTTCTCCGTGGGGGCCAGGTCCTGTATAAATGATACAATGTATATATTAACATTTATCTTTTCTTGGTGGTATACCTTTGGATAATCTGGATAGTGTTCTCCAACTATTTTGGTGAATTGTAACAAAATTCCGTAGGGATTAGGAATTTTATCTTCAACCCCTTGTCCTAAATATCAATGACGAATTTTATAAATTTATATATTTACTAATGCAAATATTTCAACTTACCTTCAGTACTTGCCATCTTTTATAAATGTAAAATGTCAAATC